ACACCACCACCCCCCGCCCCGTGACGGTGCTGTTGTCTCTTGCAGTTTTCCCGGGGGGCGGCGGGATCCGGGAGACGGTGACTCGGTGGCCACGGCGCTGCGGGAAACGCGGGAGGAGCTGGGGCTGGCGCTGGGACCCCCGAACGTCTGGGGACAGCTACGGACGCTGCCCGACGGGGTACCGGGTGACAAGGACAGCGGGACGCGGCGGGGGACGGGGGGGGCTAAGTGGAGTGGCTGTGGACACCCAGGACACAAGGGCAGGGTGGGTGGCAGGGGCACGGGCGACAAGGGTTTGAGGGGCTAAGGATATGGGTGACAAAGGTTCGGGGAGATAGGGATAGAGGTGACAAAGGTTTGAGAGAACAAGGAGATGGGTGACAAAGGTTATGGGGGGCAGAGACGGGTGACAAGGGTTTGAGGGGCCAAGGACATAGGTGACAAGGGTACAGGGACACAGGGCACTGGCTGCAGGCCTTTTGGGTGACAGGCAATGGGTGTCTGGGGGTTAAGGTGAGTGGGTGACACTCTAGGCAGGGGTAGTCACCCTGTCCCTGTCTGACACACCTCCCAGCGGGGACAGATGGTGGCCCCTGTCGTGGCCAACCTGGGGCCCCTGGAGGACTTGATGCTGAACCCCAACCCCGATGAGGTGGGTGACCCCGCACCAGCCACGTCCCCTCCCTGGGATGAGCACCCCCTTCTCCAGTGACACCAACAGTCCCGGTCACCCCCTTACCGGCTGTATCGGCAGGTGCAGGAGGTCTTCACCCTGCCCCTGGCTCACCTCCTGCGGGAGGAGAACCAGGGCTACACCCACTTCCGCACTGCCGGACGCTACAGCTACACCCTGCCTGTCTTCCTCAATGGCCCCCACAAGGTGTGGGGGCTGACGGCCATCATCACCGAGCTGACCCTGGAGCTGCTGGCGCCTGACCGCTACCGCCCGAAAACCCACGTACCGCGCTACACCTCCTCAGACTGATGTGGGAGGGGACAGGATGGCCCCCAGCCTCTTTTTTTTTGTGTGTGTTTGTGTGTGTGTGTGTGTGTGTGTACAGGTGGAGGTCGCCCTGGCTTGTTTTCATCTGCCTGTAGCCCAGCTTTGCCGCACAGGCAAGGAAAGAGGCTGTGGCGGAGAAACTACACCAACTCCCTCGCTGTTAGTACTGCTGCCTATGGGTGACATCACCCACTGTGATTGAGTAAAAAAAAAAAGCCACGTTTGGATCCACTTGTGCCACCGCCTCCAAGTCACGGAGCGTGGCTGGCCCGTGCCGCCAGCACCACTGTGGTGGCCGGGGGACAACAACCATCCCCCTTCACTAGTACAAGCTCTCCTGCCCCATCCTCGAGAGGGGACATGGGGTCTCATGAAAACCCACGAACCCACCCTCTAGGAGGGGATCTAGACTGTGGCTGTGTGATCCCCCAGTCCCTGGGGATCCCCCTGATCCCTGGGATGCAGGGCCCAGAGCCCTCGCCCTGCCCTGGCCATCCTTTCCCACCATTTTCCATCCAAGGCTTGCTCCTGCCTCTCTCCAGCAAAGAGGAGCCCATCAGCGCAGCAGCATTTAATGAGGACCCCTCAATGCAGCCCCAGAACCTGCTGCGAGAAGCCCACCACCCCCAAGAAGCCCCCCTCCGGCAGGAAATGGCAGGGCCACCGCCACCAGCAGCCCTTGCTCTGCCGCTGGCTCCTTATGCCGAGGCCGCTCGGGCTTTCGCCTCCCCGTAACGCCGCATCCTCTCCTCCAGCTCGGGACGGAAATGGCGGATGAGGCCCTGTGCAGAGCAAAGCAGATGGGTTAATGGGGTGGGGAAAAGCTGCCCACCACCCCCAAACACCCACCAGCCCCAAATGCCCCCCTACCTGCACGGGCCAGGCTGCCCCGTCGCCCAGGGCACAGATGGTGTGGCCCTCGATCTGTTTGCTGATCTCCCACAGCGCGTCAATCTCGGCTGCCTGCGCGTTGCCCTGCACAAACCGTGCCATGACCTTGTTCATCCAGTCGACACCTGCGGGGATGGGAAAGCCATAAGGGACCTGCAGTGTGGCCCCCCCACTCCCTGCCACCTTCCCTCCTCACCCCACATTCCCCCCAATCCCTGCTCACCTTCTCGGCACGGGGTGCACTGCCCGCAGCTCTCGTGCTTGTAAAACTCGATGAGGCGAGCGATGGCTTTAACAACGTCGGTCTGGGGAGGGAGAGGAGGGTGAGGACCCTGCCACAGCACAGGGGGCTGGGGAGGGGGGGGCTCCTCCCTTACCGATTTGTCCATGACAATGACAGCGGCCGTGCCAAGCCCGCTCTGCGCCTGCACCAGGGAATCGAAGTCCATCAGCACAGTCTCACACACCGATTTGGGGAGCAGCGGTGTGGAGGAGCCCCCCGGGATGACAGCCAGCAGGTTGTCCCAGCCCCCACGGACACCCCCTGCCAGAGAGGAGGGGACAAGACGGACTGAGCTGGGCCCAGCGCCGACCCGGTGGGGTTCATCGGGGCGGCCTGTGGCGCTCACCAGCATGTTTCTCAATGAGCTCCTTCAGCGGCACCGACATCTCCTCCTCTACAGTGCAAGGGTTGTTGACATGACCCGAGATGTTGAAGAGTTTCGTCCCCGAGTTGCGTTCCCGCCCGAAGCTAGCAAACCAGGTGCCACCCCGCCGGCAGATAGTGGGGGCCACAGCCACTGTCTCCACGTTAGCCACCGTGGTGGGGCACCCGAAGACACCTGGAAGCAGTGGGAGCTCTCACTGGCTGCTTCATCCCTGCAGCAGGATGGCAGCCGTGGGACAACTGGTTTTGTCCAGTTGCTGCCATTTTCTCCCGCTCTCAAGCAACAGCTAAAAATTAAGGCTTGTGTTGTCAAGAGCCAGGAGAACTGAGGACGTACCCACGTCGGCGGGGAAGGGGGGCTTCAGGCGTGGCTTGCCCTGCTTGCCCTCGATGGACTCGATCAGGGCTGTCTCCTCACCACAGATGTAGGCTCCAGCGCCCCGCACCACGAAGACATCGAAGGCGTACCCCGAGCCGCAGGCATCCCGCCCCAGCAGCCCGGCCTCGTAGGCTTCCCGGATGGCTACCTGCAGTGGAGAGGGGCGAGTGAGTCTGGGGGTTCCCTCTTCCCAATAGTAGGGTGTCTCCTGTCCCCCCCCACCATCCCCATCGCTCACCTGCAGGTTGGAGGCCTCATTGTAGAACTCGCCGCGGATGTAAATGTAGGCAGCACGGGCGCCCATGGCGCGCCCCGCCACCAGGCACCCCTCCACCAGCTTGTGGGGGTCATGGCGCATGATCTCCCGGTCTTTACAGGTCCCTGGCTCCCCCTCATCTGCATTTACCACCAGGTACTTGGGCCTGGGGGAGTGGGCAGGCACCGTCACGGCCAGGCTCCCCGTGGGGAAGGGGGCTGCGGCAGTGCCGGTACTGGTCTCACCTGCCATCCGGGGGCTTGTTCATGAAGCTCCATTTGAGGCCGGTGGGGAAACCGGCACCGCCGCGGCCCCGCAGCCCCGAGGCCTTGATCTCGCCGAGGATCCAGTCCACCCCCTTGAGCAGGATCTCCTTCGTCTTGTACCAGTCGCCGCGGCGCAGAGCACCCTGCAGCCTGCGGGCAGGGCTCGGCCGGTAGCACCGGGATGGACAGCAGCGGAACAGGCCGCCCCGGGACCCACCCCCCGCCCCGCCTCCGGTAC